GACCCCAGTGTTTGCCGCACCTAAAGCCAATCGAGCATATTCACCAGGGAGCTCCCCACCCCCCTTTACCTTTAGCGGAGTCGACCCCGTCTTGGGTATGGCCGAAGACCTTTGGCCAACGCTGCATCGCTTGGGGGAATTGACTACCATGAAGCGGGAACTTCAGAGTGCCATGGCCACAGGCCAGGCATCGAAGTTTGCTGTCCTTCGGACTGAGTATCAGACCACTTACAAGGCCATCGAATACGCTCTGGAGTCATGGAAGCCTACTCTACCTCCAGGCTTTAATCTTGTCAACCGGGTTGTCGATGGGCCTGCAGATGCATCCGAGACGGAACTCGCCAACGTTAGATGGACCACCAGCACAGCGCTTGCATACAGGCAGAGCGCGCTGGTCTACCTGTACAGCACCATCTCCGAATACCCATCATCGCATGATCTAGTGCAGAAGCACGCACAAGCGGCCCTGTGGCATTGCGCGGCATCTGTTTCTCACGGTGGAGCCGGGCTCACCATGCTGTGGCCACTTTTCTTCTCTGCATGCCATGCGGTCTGCAGTCGGGACCGCGGCTTAGTGCGCCAAGCTTTCACAGCGTTTGGTACTAAGAGGGGGACAGTCAACACAGAGAAGCCATGGGCTGTTGTCCAGGAAGTGTGGCGAAAGATGGACATGCGGGCCTATGGCAAGGAGCAGGTGGGCACTGAGGCCTGTCCAGGCTTGTGGAAGCAAGTTGCTGCGGACATGAAAATCGGTATCGTCTTTGGCTAAGGAATAACCAAACACGCGGCGACGAAGAGCTGCGCTCTCTGAGTCACGGTGTGCTATTGTCACGACACAAGGGCGGCTATCCAAGGCTTTCTCGGCCAACGGGAAGAGGGAGGCACAGCAAACATCGGACTGCTGAACATCAGGAAAATACGGCGCATCGATACCCAAAATACCACAATCGTTTTTGTTCCCACAAGATGAAATGCAGCACCAGATCTACTGATTGACAAGTTGAAAAAACCGTTCTTTGGTCGTACCTCAGCGGAGCAAACGAACCACCCTGTCAAGCTAATGCAGCTCATGATTGCATCCACTCCAACTACAGGACCCGCCACTCCTTCAGGTGAGTCGACGTGGCTCGACCAATGCCAACGCCACTGGCCTGATTGTCCGCCAACCAAAGTTGGGGAACACGGAGCCGCGTCTGATGACTGGGGTCGGTTTCCCCACAGGCCAGGGAGCGCAATTCAGGCTGATTGCCCTCCGCAGATCCAGAGACGGGAGACATGTCAAATACTCGCATTCTGCGCAGACGCAGAGCTGAGGGCTAGAGGACTTGGGCCCCTGGCAGCCTCAAATTTCTAGACGCCAGTCAAACGGGCCAGAGAACTTCATCTGCAGGCGGCTACCGATCTGGTTAAACAATTTCTTCGTCCCATGTTTGCGCACACCCTGCTGTTCATCGCCATGCGTACCAACCACACGATGCAACGCAATATGCGATCCCAATACCGTAATGCCATTCAGCCTGACGGTTTCTTGTCTCTGGAACCAAGATGCAACAGACTTTGGGTCTCGGTTCAAGGAGAGGGGGTATGGGGAGCGGTCAGCTACCTCTGCTCTGCACCCTTCTTCGCGTCCTGGACGATTGTGGCTTAACGTAGCTCATGTAAATATGGCTGAGGCATGAACAGAGTCCGAGATGAGCTCATGCCACTTGTGTTGTCTGGTCACGGGACGTGAGAGCAGCTGGATCAACAGTCAATCCAACCCGATGGGCTCGCCTGTTCCGCGTCCTGGGAGAAGCAACTGATCCTCCGTCGTCACACATCAGCGTGCATCCTGTCGCTCCTCGCCATAATTGGACATGTCGGTGACGCATACAAGGCCGAGCAGACCTTCTTTAACCTCTGACATTTCGAGGCTCGAAAACGGGCCGCAGCGATGGTCATGTGACAGATGCAGAGACGGCACAGCTGGGACAACTGGCGAGTAAGCTCGCCTGGTTTGCCTGAGCGAGCACAACACGCCTGCATGTGTCACTGCAGGCATGCAGAGCTCGCTGTCGTTCCAGTCCGCAATTAGCAGATGCCGAACCCCAAGGTCTCCGAGCCAGGGTCTTCTCCAAATTCCTTGAGATGGTGGTCTTACACAGCGCCATGTTCGTTTGGGTGTGTGTGGAAGCTGCGCGGCAGGCAAACGGGCGCTGCATTCGTCTGGCACGTGGCTCGGTTCGACCGCGAAAGGATGGCTGCTCATCAACCCACCTGGATCTGCCCAACGGCTTTGCGCCCGCAGCACACAAGACGGAAGGATGAGGTGTGAGAGATTTGTGGCGTTTTTAGTATAGAGGGCAGCGGGCGGGCTTCGGCGGCGGTGATTCGGTCCGGCGAGAAGGCTGCCCTCTCGTTGGCTCGTCTTGTGGCTTGGCTGGGCTTACCCTGTTGTCGTTGATTGGTCCTTAGGACAAGTTGAGAGATGAGGCATGTGGATGCTAGAAGGATTCAGTGATTCAGATCCTGGGGAAGTTGCAACATCCTTCGAGCCCGCGTGACGGGTTGCGGGTGTAGGTGGGTGTTAATTTCGAGACACACTGTTGAGACTACCTAGTACCTGCTTCTGAGGACCCTTGAGGTTACGTTCTGTCTAGTTAAGAGGTTGCTGATGTCGTTGAAATGATTGGGGGCCAAGAAGTGGGATGCAGTTTAAAGTCGTTTATTGCTGGAGGCTCATCTGAAACAGAGTAGCTGAAGACTTTTGCTGCCCCGGCGGATACTTCTTACTGACCGGGAGGGGGAATACACATATTATGTCGAACAGATTCTTTATTTTAAAAGTTTTATCCTCTCTGTCGTACTTATCCCTACGACTATCGTCGTCATCGTCGTCGACCCTATTGTCGTCCATGCCCACTACCCGCCCAGATAGCAGAACTCAATCTAAATAGTGAATATGCGATAACAATTGTCCGTGCCTGTCCGCCTTTGCCATGCTGCCCAGACCTGACTCGAGCACAGGGCTTAGTACGGGACGCACTCGCAGTAGTTACCCGGCAGACTTTTGGTAACAACGTTAGCTTGGACTGTGGCATAAGGTATCCAATCTCTTGAGGTATAATCAACTCACTGGCACAGGTTGTCTGCGAAACCGCCACAATTCTGGGGGCAGTCCGCCGTGCTTTGGCAGGTTACAGCGTAGGCCCCTTGAGAGAAGACGGCCAGGGCGGTCATGGCGATGGAGATGACGTTGACGCGCATGTTGGGCTGGACTTTTGGGTGTGAGATGCCGAAAAGGAGGTGTTGTGTTGCTGTGTGCGTGTTGGTTGGTTGGATAGAGTTGAGTTGAGCGAGTAGGAGTTGAGACGAACTTGTCAAGATATTTATACCGACTGACATCCACTAAGTAATCTGTCCGCTCTACGTTGTGATCGACCCGGTGTCGTGGGCCATCTTGTCTATTAAGGTTTTAGGGGATTGTACTGCTTACTCGCACGTCGGAATCTGATACGAGCGTCGTCTCGTTGTCGTGGTTAATATATAGGAAACAGACTGGATAACCTTAGTGTATATTCTGATTACTCTACTTGAGCGCTTTGGCCAGTTGGTTGTCTAGATTAGTCCTGTCTCTATCCCGCGGGAGACTGTCCCGCGACGGCGTTAGGTGGTTCGGGAAGTGTGTTACCTATTGGAGAAAGCGAAACCGAAGCTGATAACGCGAGCTGTGGGGTGTGCACTGTGCGACGGGCGTAAATTACTACCGGAGGACCCGGGCGCAGAGTCTTGGCATTCTCATACTTGACTCGAGGTAGGTGTACGTTGCTGTGAGGTCGGAGTCGGTGTGTTCTTTTGAACAGAGGCTTGATTTAACCACGACTGGGTAGAGTGGCTTTAGTGTAAGAGGTTCGTCTGATGGGGCACGCCACACATCTTTCGTCTGATGCGGATATGCGGAGATAAGTCTATTTCCCCGGTCTCGACGTCGATCAGCGGCTCTTACAAGCCAGTAGAACCTGGCTGTAGCGCATCAAGCCCGTGTTACGTTTTCTAGCATCGAGACCGTATGCATTGCTATGTTATCGAGAGTCCCATGCAACCATGCGGAGGACCGTGCCCTGTTGAGATCTCTGAGGCCGGTTAGTTGTTCGCCGAAAACAAATAGGAAATTCCTGAGCACCAATCTCCCAGAAGCTTGATGCACACACTTGAGGACATGCCTCGGAAAGATCTTATCAAGTGCCTTCCATTTTGCGGTGTAGGTCGTTTCACCCATAACTTCTGAGATGAAAATATAATTACAGGAAAGCGAAAGTGTCTGACTCGTGCGGCGTTTGACCATTGGGTCGCGGTTGATTGATGTGCCTTAGGAGTGCTGTGAGGGTTTCTTTTCAGACGTTGATCAAGAAAACAGATATTTTGACAGTCCAGAGGTATGACGATGAATAATTGAGGTTGCATCATTGGAAAGGAATACATTTAGTTTCAGCGTCCTTGACATCGAGGCAACAGACTGAAATCGGGTATGGTGCTGTGAAGTGACTTCGATGTTCTGATCCGTGAGACAGACGATAGCAAATGCAAGATTGGAGTCGCTCATGGCCCATATTGGAAGGCATCTGAGAAGTAAAGTTGAAAAATAAAAATGCGGCAGGAATGACAATCAACTGAAGCTGGAAGACTAGCACGGAGCGAAAAAATACTCTCAAACTGAGGAAGGCGGATCTAGTGTGAACAATGAACAATGAGAAGGTCGAAACAAGAACCAAAAGCAAAAGTTGTTGTCTAATAAACGAGCTGCCTCTTGGACACACCATATGCCGATGAAGTCGATCAGAAAAGACAGTCAACTTCGGAACCCTGCCTGAGGCAGACTGATGAAATTCGACGTTGGCGAAGGAACGCACTTTCCTGGGTTGACAACTTCTAAGATAACGTAGCTGAAATCAAAATTTAGGGCAAGCTCCTTCCTTCTCTCAACTCTCACCTTCACATCCTGCGACAAGGCGACTACCAAGATGTCGCCAGCTAGCAGCAACACAGACGCAACCACGACTCCCCCGAACGAGCTTGACAACCTCAGCGGTCAGTCATGATTATTGATACTGATAATTCGTGTTCTCACTGATCCATCATCTGACATAGCTATTCTCGAGTTCCGCGTCAAGCACGCTTGGCGAGTGAACAATCAGGGCAAGCACGAGGAGGCGGAGGAAATGGCCGCCAAACTCCTGATGGAGCCCGCTCTGAGCTCAGTCCACCAAGGCTGGATGCATCTGCTGCTGGCGGGATCATCCCACGACTACGTCCACCATGCCAATGAGGCGATCCGTCTGTTCACCGAAGTCCTCGACGAGAACAAGCCCACGGCGACACCTCATGAGCTGGACTGCATGACCAAAACGCTTGAGAAAGTGAAGGATGCCCAGAGACAGGCTCTCAGCGACAAAAGCGCTGCTGACCGAAAGTTTGCTAAGGCACTGTGAGTATCACCTTTTTCATTGGGTTTTGACACACTATTTCCATTTGTTCTGGCCTTGTTGCTGCTAATCGTCTTTGCTATCCAACTGAGTCCCCATCAACCTTGCCATCCCATTACTCATCATAGCGCTTTCGATGTCTTCTCCATGGTTTATGTTTTTCTTCTTTGCTTGTATCCCAATGGTTTATTGTCCTTATCCTTGGTTGATGTCTTCTGTCGGCCCCGTCCTCTGTTAGCTTGGTCTTCTGTCGGCTCTGTTCTCCATTGTGTTTGCTTTCTATCATCCCCGTCCTGTCGTCCTCTTCCTTGCAGTCTGTGGCCTCCGTCATCTATGGCCTCTGTCGCCCATGATCTCTTTCGTTATTGGTCACCTTCGTCGTTGTCGTTTGTCTTTGCTACCCTTAGTCCCCGTCATCTTGATCATCTCTGAAGTGAACATGACTCAGCCGTACTAATGACCTATGATCCAGTGCTGCGGGCAAAACGATGACTGTTCTCCACGATGATCAGATGAAGGGGCCCCAGAAGTTCGAGGACGACCATCTCGCTGAGGCTCAGGACTTTGACCAAGGTGGCAACCTCAACGTTGGTGCTGGCGGTAGTGGTGCTGGCGGTAGTGATGCTGGCAGAGACGGCGGAAACAAAGACTCCCAGGAAGCCATCTTTCCCGCGTCCAGTCAGAATGCCCCTGAGACTACCGCTCGCACCTCACAAGGTTCAGCTCTGGGTCGTTCGCAACCAAACGTGGCTATCGAGAATGATGAGTACGATATGGGTGAAGACACTGAGCCTCTTCCTCCCATCTGCAGATTCGGCGAGGGGATGAGCTAGATGTGTCCCTATAACTCGACGCCAGCGGAGATCAATGAATTTTAACCCCCGAGGCCATGTTCTGCGTCGCTTCTTCTTGTGTGTCCAGCATTCATTACGTGCTACATCAGCCTGAAGTGATAGGAGTAGACGGCAATGGAGATGTGCAGTCTGCGCTATTATTCTCTAAATTTTAGCTGTGTGAAAGTCTTGGCTTCGTGCTGTCCACGCACGTCTATTCCGATCGTCTATCTCCAGTTGCTTCGGTTCCCTCTTCATCCCTTTCACTCTTGGTCTTCTTCTTCTCCCTCTTGAACAAGTACGCCACGGTGGCCGTGATGGCGGCCTGCGCTCCAAACGCAATGGTGCTGAAAATAAAGCCCTTCCTGAACTTGGGCGCGTCAACCTGAGGGTATGTCAAAAGCGGCACCCACGCGTTGAAAGCGTAGCCCAGTGAGTTCATGATTCCTATGACGATAGCTCTTTCTTCCGCATCGGCGCCGCAGATTTCGTTTGCCCAACTCATGCTCAGTGGACCGTATGGCACGGAAGCACGCTGAAGCAAGAAGGCGAACCATTTCAGTCCATCGGGGATGTTCCAGATTGCCAACAGCAGAGCAGCGAAACCTCCGAGAAAGGTGGAGATGGACATGATGCTGGCGCGGTGACGGATAGCGTCAGAGATGATGGCGAAGGAGACCGTGAGGACGAGCTGGATTGCTGAGGCTGCTGTGGGGATGATGTTCTGAGTTGCGATGTTAGCTTGACGGAAGTCCACGACATGTGTTAAGCTTGACTCACAATCTTCTCGACAGACTCTCCCTTGGATTTGAGCCAAAGTGAGAACGGGTTGACACTGCTGGAAGGTCCAATGTTGATGAAGATGATGTACAGAATCGTGAGGTAGTACACATGCCATCGGCCTGACTAATTAGCTTCCGGTGCCATTCGCTCGATCATGATGCTAGCTTACCGAAGATGCGCTTGAAAGCTGAAAGACCAAGCTTAGTACGAGGCGCACGCCCGACGGCATTCATACGGTTCCGTGCCATCTCTCGGTCCTAAGATTGTGTCAGCTACCACTAGTTGTAGAAAACGTGTTTGATAGACTTACTTTCTCATTTAGATAGAACGCCCTTGTGTTTTCTGGCAGATCTGGAATGAGGAAGAACCCAGCGATGCAAATTGGCAGGCTGATGATTCCATCCATGATCTAAACTCGTATTAGTGCAATCCAACAGTCACAGTCTCATTCGGAACACTCACAAAAAGCCACTTCCAGCCCGTGAGACCGTGGACACCATTAAGCCCCTTGTACACGCCAGCCTGCAGATAACCCGAGAACATGCTCGCTGCCGCGGAGGAAGCATGAAAAATACATGCCCTCTTGCCCAGCTCAGACGGCTTATACCACGATCCAAGAATCGTATGCGCAGCTGGGTAAAAGATCGACTCGGCCAAACCCACGAAGAATCGAATCACGATAACATGATTCGAAGTCTTGGCCGCCGCCAGACAGAACGTCAAAACAGTCCACAGCAGCTCGCAGGACGGCACCCAGATCGACGGGCGCACCTTCGTTAACACAATCTGCGAAGGGATCTGTCCCACGACGTAACCCACAGTCCACGCCGTGTCGACCAGGTTCAGCTCATTTCCGTTCATGGCCAGGTCCTCCTTCATGCCGGACACGAAAGCGTTGCTGATGTTGGTCTGGTCCAGGTTCTTGATGAAGTATCCGAAGCTGAGCATCGTGATCAGGAAGACATCCAATTTCTGGATGAACACGCGCTCCTCGTGGGAGCGTCCCGGCTCGTAGTCCCAGACGTAGGACCACCATGGTGCCTTCTCCTTGCCGTGCGGTGACGTTGCCGAAGTTCGGTCGGAAAAGGACTCGTCGACCGCCAGCCCCTTGGGGGACTCGCCCTCGTGCTCGGACGGCATCTCGAGCAGGGGCGTCACTTCTGAGGGACCCAGGGCGTTAACTTGAGAGAACCGTGGGGAGAGAGTTGTTGAGAGAACGCAAGAACCACCTCAGAACGACCGAGAGTGATTTCCAAAAGTTTTATTTCATGCTGATCATCTTTTTCAGGGTCCCGTACCGAAATTTAAGTACCCGACCTCGGATTCCGATATCCTAGCCATCGCGCAAGAGCTCAGGAGACCTGAGTACGACTTCAAAGATAGCAGTCTTCGACCGCAGACTGGCTGTCAGACGTCGAGAGTGGGTTTGGGACGGGTCTGAGGATGAATGATGTGCTGCGGCGGGTTGGTGATTCGTCCACCCTTGGCGTGGGGTGTGTCGCCATCGCGGGGTTCGCTGTCGTGATTCGACCAGCGCGACTCGGTGGCCCCTTTAACGCCGTTGTCTGGGACATCTGTTAGCGACAACCCCATGAGATTCAGCTTTTAAGACACCGATGTGGATCGGTCTTTGGCTTACTGGGGAGTAGGATTGGTAATACGGTTTATTATCCGTGTTGGGCTTGTAGCCGGCGAGATCCGGGTCGGGATATATCCGTGTGTTTCGGGGACTTGGCCGGGTTGCGCGGCTGCTAATCACGTCATTCGGGGCCGGAAGACGCCATCGCCATCCCCGTCCCCGGTCCGTCTAGGCATACCGAGAGACGGTCTGAGGACCTCCATGGTAATGTGAGAACCGGGGCCCCGCGATTTGAATCGGATCACGGAGTGGAGCCACGGAGCCACCATTGCTCCGCTTTCTCCGACCCAGCGGCAGCGCCGGTACCGGTTGAGCCGCCGTCTTGGCACGGGTGACGACCCTGTGTGTGCGTCAAAGGGGCAGGCAGGACGACGATAGCAACAGTTCCACCGCGTACAAATGCAAGAGCAGATAAGAACCATTCAAAGTATTGTTCTCGTTATATTGTACGACTTTCACTTGAACCATCTGCTATCAATGTGTCGCTCAGGATTCGGCTACTTGAATATCAAGCTTTGCTTATCAGCTTAAAGTTGCGGAAATGGCGCCGCTGACCGTATGATCTCAGAGTTTGCTATGTCATTCTGGATGATGTCGTAGAGAAACACGTTGTGGCCCTTCTCCTTCAATGCGCCATTGTGCTTCACCATCTGAATCGCACCCTGCAGATGCCGTTGCACCCACGGAATATTACCGAGAAGAATCTGCCATTTTTTAACACTCCATAAATGAACACAACCTAATACGCAGTCGAGGTAACATACCTCATCTTGTGCTAGGAAAACAGCTACCGTAATGATGGAATCACTAATTGGAGATTGCGTCTCTAGGGTGGATATGGCTTGCATGAGTATTTGCGCGCAGTCGACTTTGTACTGCAGAGCCAGTTGAGCATAATGCGCCCCCTGTTGTGGGAGGCAGTATGACAGGTGCCGACACGTCACAAGAAAGAGGCCGTTTAGACCGCTGATGCTGGTGGCTGCCAGCTGTACGAACTCCTTGCTTATGTCTCGTGCACTGGCTCCCGGAAGTCTGCTCTGATTATATTCAAATGTCGAACAGGGTACAACGTTGTGGGCATCTATATTGTTTAATCCGGTCAAAATATGCTCTTCTAGTTCGTATCTTATGTGCAGGAATGACCTTGGGAAGTGTAGTATCTTTACAATTAGGCGAGCCACGGGTGTAACTTACAATAATCCAGTAGGAAGTCTTCTGTCGGACTGAGGCGCCTCGCAAAACTGGCGAAGGGGTCTCTCCGGCCATATCCCAGGGGAGCCATGGGGCCCGAGATGACAAATACTTGGACTTCATCTGCTTTCCTTGCAGGAGGCTGACTCCCATTACAGTTATTGCGACTTGCTTTGGTGGCCTGGTATTGGATAACCCTCTGGCGCCGCGTCTTGGCGTGCGCCGCCCGAGCCGCATGGGAGTGAACTCGGCGTTGCGCCTCGGCCGACTTGGCTCCAATGGTGGACTTCTCATGTGAATGGATGAATTGAATATCGTGACTTCTTGTTGCCATGATGATTATTATTCCAGGAGTCCGTTCAACAGCTTGGATGGGCCCCCATATCTTGGATTTTAGGCCTTTCACGATGTGTCGAAAATGAGGCTCGGATAGTTTGTCAGCAAAACCAGGTCATCTCTCCCTTCCTTTTCGCATTTGTCATCACAAAACCTGGCCAATAACTCGCTTTCTCATCCCTCTCAATAGTCAGCGACTGCTGATGCCAAGGCTTGCGACTTCCAAAAAAGGAAATTGGAACTCGAACCACCGGAACCGGCCCGAGATGCAACTCCGGGTATCGGGGTTCTTCACCCGGCATCAAGAAGAGTTTTAACCTATGTCCAACCCCTAAACGCCGCGTTCCCGTATAACTGGCTGGTTACAGAAGAAATCGCCAAGGCGATGTCCTTCCCGATGTAGAGTAGCCTACGTGACCGCGCTCTATGAGAGCTGCCTCACGCGACTGTTCTCTGACTCGAAAATCAATATAAATGCACACGTTAACGAGAGCTTTCAAGTCCAGGCCACGACTTTGTAAGGACCAAACATACATTCAAAGTTCACATTAAGCTATCCACCTCCATCATCCTTCATTGTCATGTCTCTCCCCGAAACCGTAATCCCCCAAGGCTCCTGGGTTCTCATCACCGGCGTTACAGGCCACATTGCAACACACACGGCCAAACAATTTCTCCAACGTGGCTTCAAAGTCCGCGGCTCCGTTAGAGATCTGGAGGCCGCCAAATGGCTCACTCAGGACGTCTTCAAGTCATTCGCGGACCGCGGTGATCTCGAGCTTGTTCACGTCCCAGACCTCGGCGCAAAGAACGCCTTCAACGAAGCGATAAAGGGTGTCTCAGCCATCGTTCACATCGCGTCGATTCTCTCATTCTCCAATAATCCCAAAGAAGTCATTCCACCCGTCGTCGAGAGCGTCACCTCGATCCTCGATGCCGCGGCTCGCGAACCATCCGTCAAGTCATTCGTCTACACCAGCTCCATCGCCGCCGCAGTGGACATCACTCCGGGAGCAAACGCCCAGCACGCGGAACCGGATGCCTGGAACGA